TTTTATACAGTTATCTCCCTCATCTGTTTCAATGCCATGTACACTATTTATCCCCTTTTCTTAGTTTCCCCTAACCCCCATATCATATAACCCTATACCATATACTGTTTTATATCAGTGACATTATGCAGTATTTGTCCTTTGTGACTGAGATATTTCACTCATCATAATGTCCTCCCGAGTCACCTATTTTGAATAATAATGCATTAGTTCCTTGTTTTTGCAATGCATATTATTTGATTGTGTGAATATACCAGAGATTCTCTATCCATTCATTTATTGATGGGCACTTAGGTTGTTTCCAACTCTTTGCTATTGTGAACAAGGCTGCAATAAACATGGGTGTGCATATATCTGCCTGGGTGGAAGTTATGGTTTCTTTAGGGTATATTCCCAGTAGAGGAATTGCTGGGTCAAATGGCATTTCTATTTGCAACTTTTTGAGAAGGCACCATACTGTCTTCCATAGTGGTTGTACCATTTTACATTCCCACCAGAGTTCCAGTTTCTCTGTAACCTCGCCAGCATTTGTTGTTTGCTGCTCTGTTAAATTTTGCTGTTCTTACTGGGGGTGAGATGATATCTCATAGTTGTTTTGGTAATTTCAGTCTTAATAAGTTTGATAAATAGATGATAAAAGAGTAAGTTTGCCTGACAAAGCTTGACTTGGAATTTTTAAATGGATATTTGGACTTATAAATTAGACAAATGGGCTATAAATGTAGAAAGACAATATGAGACCTCCTTGCCAACACATTACAATGCACTATTGTTGGGAAAGAAATCTCCTAGCAACATGACAGGTGTTGGAAGAGTTGAAAGTCACATGGTTGCTGACACATGATGAAGCCCTGCTCTCTAAGATGTCTAAATAGGGGATGAGTACAACCCTAGATGCCACAGTGCTGGCTGGATTTTGATGTTCCATCAGAACATGTTAGCACCAGAATATGCCATTATTGTTGTTATGTGCCATTGAGTCGCTTGTGATTCATAGTGACCTTATGTACAAGAGTCCTAAACACCGCTCTATCCTGTGCCAACCTCACTGTCTCCGACATACCCACTCCCACCTCGCCAATCACTGAATCAACCTATCCCTTTGAGGGTCTTCCTCTCCTGTGCTGTCCCTCCACTCTCCCGAACATGATTTCCCTCTCTAAGGACTGATCCCTCCTTGCAACTTGCCCAAATACAGCCACCTAGTACCAGAACACGGGTCATTATCAAGTATCAGATTAGAGAATCTAGAGGAATTCCAGCGCAGGATTTCTGAGGGTGTAGTTAGTTGAGTGTGGTAAACTATCCCCCTCTAGTACTTGCAGTTATTTCCCATATAAAATCATGCTAGAATTTATTAAAGAAGTAAGGACAGCCTAAGAACTGGAGTTCTGGATGGTTAGGTGTGAGTCAAAGAGGATGTTCTCTGCACAGCATCTACTCCTCATTACAGCTAAGTGACTCCATAAGAAAAGACATAGAGTGCTATCAGGTCTACTATTAGAAGAATAATAATAAAAAGGAATCTTAATTATATGTACTAGGTATTGTGTTACTACTTTTATCTGAATGATTTGATTCTTATAGTTCCCCTTGGAGGAAGAGACTATATATTTTTTCTTACTTTACAGAGAAAAGCACTTGACGTTCAAGGGGTTTAAGTTCTATGACAAAGGTCACAGAGCTATTTAGGGACAAGGATTTGAATCTAGATAGTGTAATTCTAAAGTCTGTATTTAGAAACACTGTGCAGAAATCCTTAATGGTGAGGAAGCACAGATATGGCTTATAGCACCAAAAAGTATCATGAGTCACTAATATTTTTAAGAATTACACTTGCAGGTACAAAGAGATTAACCAGAATGCTTTTCTTAGATATGGCACTTCATGCACATCTCTGTATGAAGCAACATGCCTCTGGAAGCTCTGTAAACTTTGATAAATGTTGATAGCTGTAGAGGAGTTTCAGGCCTTT